GGGTTTAGGGTTTAGGGTTTAGGGTTTAGGGTTTAAGGGTTTAGGGTTTAGGGTTTAGGGTTTAGGGTTTTGTATAGGAGGTAACAACTAAAGAGAGACAGAGATAGAGATAAAGAAATAAAAAGGAGACAGAAAAAAGAAAGAAAAGAGACAGAAGAGAGAGAAATATAAAAAAAGAAAGAAAAAGAGAGACAAACAAAGAGAAAAAGAGAAAGAGAGACAAAAGGAGACAAAAAGAAACAGAAAGGAGACAGAAAGGAGACAGAGAAGGGAGGAGACAAAGAAGAGACAAAAAGGAGACAGAAAAGAGACAGAAAAAAAGACAGAAAGGAGGCAAAAGGAGACAAAAAAAAAAGATAGAAAGGAGACAAAGAGGAGGGAAAAAAAGAGAGACAAAGGAGACAAAGAAGAGACAAAAAGGAGACAAAAAGGAGACAAAAAAAGATAGAAAGAGAGAGAGAAAAAGCTACAAACAAAACAAAAAAAAATAGCCTCAGCAGCATAGCATAGAAAGCCACAGATATTACTTCTGCTGCTGCTGCTGCTGCTGTTGCTGCTGCTGCTGCTGCTGCTGCTGCTGTTGCTGCTGCTGTTGTTTTTGCTGCTGCAGTTGCTGCTGCTGTTGCTGCAGTTGCTGCTGTTGTATCTTCTGTTGCTTCTGTTGCTGCTGTTGTTCTTTCATTTGCTGCTGCTGCTGCTGCTGCTGCTGCTACGAAAGGAGAATCTGCTGTTGCTGCAGCAGCAGCAGCTGCTGCTGCTGCTGCTGCTTCTGCTGCTTTAGCTGCCGCTGCAGCTGCGACTGGGCTAAGTGCTGTTGCTGCAGCAGCAGCAAGAAGAAGTTCTGTTGCTGCAGCAGCAGCAGCAGCAGCTGCTGCTGCTGCTGCTGCTGCTTCAGTGAAGATCTGCTGCAGCAGCAAGGAAGCAGCAGCAGCAAAACTTAGGATAAGCTTGAGGTGTACGTACACCCCAAAGCCTCTTAGAGTTCCGCTTGGTGCAGCAGCAGCAGCAGCAGCAGCAGCAACAGCAGCACCAGTAGCAGCAGCAGCAGCAGCAGCAGCAACAAAAGCAATAGCAACAGCAGCAGCAGCAGCAGCAGAAGCAGCAGCAGCATGTGCTGCTGTGTCTGCTGCTGTTGCTGATGTGGGGTGTATTGCTGTGTCTTTGATAGATAGAGCCTCTAGCTGTAAATAAAAAGGAGACAAATAAAATAAAATAAAATAAAATAAAATAAAATAAAATAAAAAGGAGACAAATAAAATAAATTAAAATAAAAAGGAGACAAATAAGGAGACAAACAAAATAAACTAAAATAAAAATGAGACAAATAAAATAAACTAAAATAAAAAGGAGACAAATAAAATAAAATAAAAAGGAGACAAGTAAAATAAAAGGAGACAAATAAAAAAAAAGGAGACAGAAATAATAAATAAACTTTTTCTCCTGTCTCCTTTCTTAAAGCACCTAAACCCTAAACCCTAAACCCTAAACCCTAAACCCTAAACCCTAAACCCTAAACCCTAAACCTACGTCACTGCATTTTAATTATTGTCTGCATGCAAATAGAAACAAAAAAACAAAGCTAAACCCTAAACCCTAAACCCTAAACCCTAAACCCTAAACCCTAAAACCTTTATTGTATCGGTTTCTATCCTCGATTCAAACCAAACCCTAAAACCCTAAACCCTAAACCCTAAACCCTAGACCCTTAACTGCTCCGGGTTGCTGGGGGAAGGCCTCCTCTGCTTTGTAAACCCTCATCTCTAAACCCTAAACCCTAAACCCTAAACCCTCCTAGTTGATTATCATGCCCCCCCGCATCGCCCGCGGTAAATGCTGCTGCTGCTGCAGCAACAGAAGCAGCAGCAGCAGCAGCTGCTGCTGCTGCTGCTTGCTCAACCATCGGGGTTCCTCAATATTCTATGAAAGTGGTAGTGTGCTTTGTAAGGGTTTAGGGTTTAGGGTTTGTGAGGGTTTAGGGTTTAGGGTTTAGGGTTTGTGAGGGTTTAGGGTTTGTGTTGTATCCACCATTAAATATTAACATCATTAATTAGGGTTTAGGGTTTAGGGTTATAAGCCAAATATCGCCGATAGTAAAATGCTTGCTGCTGCTGCTGCTGCTGCTGCTGCTGCTGCAGCTGCTGCATGCATGCAGCAGCAGCAGCAAGAGATCGCACTTGAAACCCTAAACCCTAAACCCTAAACCCTAAACCCTAAACCCTAGAATTTGAAATATAAATTGTTTAACTAAACCCCCTCTGGCGATGACGCTTTAAAGGCGAGAGGACCAACCACCGCCAACCCTAAACCCTAAACCCTAAACCCTAAACCCTAAACCCTAAACCCTAAACCCTAAACCCTAAACCCTAAAACTAAACCCTAAACCCTAAACCCTAAACCCTAAACCCTAAACCCTAAACCCTAAACCCTAAACCCTAAACAACCCTAAACCCTAAACCCTAAACCCTAAACCCTAAACCCTAAACCCTAAACCCTAAACCCTAAACCCTCCCTAAACCCTAAACCCTAAACCCTAAACCCTAAACCCTAAACCCTAAACCCTAAACCCTAAACCCTAAAACCTAAACCCTAAACCCTAAACCCTAAACCCTAAACCCTAAACCCTAAACCCTAAACCCTAAACCCTAAACTTTCAACCCTAAACCCTGTCTCTTTGAGCATTGTCTGCTGTGGATAATTTGTTTTTAAGGGGGAGATGTTTTTACGGCCGCCCTGAGGGTTTAGGGTTTAGCAGGGTTTAGGGTTTAGTAGGGTTTAGGGTTTAGGGTTTAGGGGTTGAGGTAAAACCAACGCCTCTCAGGGGCTGGACCCAGCAGCAGCAGCAGCAGCAGCAACAGTGCCACCTGAAGCAGCAGCAGCAGCAGCAGCAGCAACAGCAGCAGCAGCAGCAGCAGCAGCAACGACCTTAGACCTGCATACGCTGCAGCAGCCGTATCAGCAGCAGCAGCAGCAGCAGCAACAAGAACAACAACAGCAGCAACAGCAGAAGCAACAGCATCTGTATCGGCAGCAACAACAACAACAACAACAACAACAGCAACAACAGCAGCAGCATCAGCCGCAGCAACACCAGCAGCAGCAACAGCAACAGCAACAGCAGCAGCAGCAGCAGCAGCAGCAGCAGCAAGATGTATATACCTCGTGGTCCTGAGATATACCGTCACCCTTTTTATCCTCCTTTGTCTGTTGATGAGCTGCAGCAAAGAGACTGTCTCCTTTCCCGCTGCAGGGCTGCAA